TGTAGTGAAACAGTTAGGTGTGTAGTGAGACATTTTGGTGTGTATTGAGACAGTTTGGTGTGTAGTGAGACAGTTTGGTGTGTAGTGAAACAGTTTGGTGTGTAGGGAAACAGTTTGGTTTGTAGTGAGACAGTTTGGTGTGTAGTAAGACAGTTTGGTTTGTAGTGAGACAGTTGGGTGTGTAGTGAGACATTTTGGTGTGTAGTGAGACAGTTTGGTGTGTAATTATTAGACATTTGGGTGCGTAGTGAGACAACCTGTTTGGTGTATATTGAGACGGTCGTATAAAGAGAGACTTCTGTAAATAAAAGTTCTTAACCGACGGAAACATCAATTATTTAAGTGGTATCCTGTAGACAACTGATTATTCTCTTTTTAAAGCTTAAATTTTCTGTTTTCTTGGAGCCATAAGTATAAAATATTAATTGTTTCCGCCCAAACTTGCGAACGCTTCGCTTCTTTTTTTTTTTCAATTAGAAAAAATACACCTGAAAGATATTTTTGTCTCCATAACATACAAATTACTCGTGCGCTGATTGGCTATTTTTTACCATCAATAACAGAACAGACCAATTACCGCCTCGCATACTACTTTGACAATGAATATAAATTCAATTTGTAGGACAGACACATAAAAAACTGATGTCAATTTGTTAAGGTGACTGACTTCTTAAAGGACGTAATTATAATAAGAAAATTTTCTTAGAAAGACATTTTATACCGAATTTAATGGGATGTCCCGAGCTCGTTTCCAAGATATTGAATTTTGAATATTACCATCTTGACCAAGCTTTCTACAAAAATAATAATTACGCTATAATTAAAAGAGATACGGAAGTTATTTTCTCAGGACATGTACTTCAAAAATTGTTTTCGATAACTAACTCAAAATATTTTTTAAAAATTAGGTAATAAACTCAAAATTCAGTATTTTGTTCGTGTTATGGGTCGAAAATCGTACTCAAACGATAACAAGAAAAGTGTTATGAGAGAGAAAATGATCATGAATGCTTCTAAAGGCTAATTAAGCAAGATATAAGTTTCTTTCAAACGATAACAAGAAAAGTGTTGTGAGAGAGAAAATGAATGTTTTTTAAGACTAATTAAGCAAGACATAGGTTTTCTAATTACTACTGCTTATCTCAAGAAGACAAGATAAGAATTATCAATCTCCAGTCAATTAGCTATAAAAAACATCCATATAATATTTGAACACAGCTACCACCACGCACAAGTTTAGATAATGTATGCATTGAATTTACAAGCGAACCTCTTAGCTCCTCCCATTAGCATGTACACCTCTGGTTACGCCCTACACAGTTTTTACCCATTTGCTCAGTTATTTTAGGATTATTCTTTAGAGTCTTATGTTAGAAATGTTCCTTGTAACCTTTTCTATGCATTTACGATATATTCATATATTAACTTTAGTTTCAGCTATGTTTAATTCTTAGATTTTCACTCGTAATACTCGCCGTCAAAATATCGCACTTAGGAATTCAATTACTCTTTTAGCCAATCATGATTTGACGATTATATCACATTGATTAAGGTTGACACCTGTCGTAGAATCATTATAAATACAGCTCATGTAATTAGTTTTGCAGAGTAGAATAAAGATCCCGAAGCTTGTACCGAGAGCGGTCTTTTCGTAACAAAAGCACATACAGTCAATTCAAAAAATGTTGTCGTCGACCAACTCAAGCCTACGCGACTGGACCGAAAGGAACTCTGGGTAGTAATCATTGAAGCMGAGTTGACTCCATAATTTTATCTGACTAGTTATGCCTGGTTTACAGCACGAACCTTCGTAGGCGAGCGGGAAGTGTTGGAGGAGACGTTTTTTTAATGCCTTCACATTTTCGAATTTGTGAACTGAATCATAACTACTTTGTTTTTCTTTCCCTAAACCCGAAGACATGCATTCGATGGATTGTTTCTCGCCATTATCTTATTACTAGCGGGAACAATTAATTCAGAACGAATATTTAACCGCTTCAGTGAATTTTACCCATATTCCTTTCGGTCCAGTCGCGTAGGCTTGAGCCAGTCGACGACAACGTTTTTTGAATTGACTGTATACGATGCTTTTCCTTTACTAGTAATTGCTTTTTACCCTTTGTAGGAAGTCCAACGGAAAATATAGTCACATGCAATTTTGAAACAGAATCTTTTCAAAATGTTGAAGTTTATAACTCAATAATATTTTGAAGGTTATTCAGCGGTTTTGAGCAGACTTTATGCGCACCCACACCGTGAGCTCAATTTGAACGTTCTATAGGAGACAGTCACATTAAATAGATATTTTAAAAATATTTGATATAACGCTGATTGATTTGCTACCGTGCTTCAGTTTTATCAGAGACACTCGCTCAAATATATTTTATAATAGCAATTGAAAACGGCTGCTCATGTCTCTGTTCTGTGATATAAACACTTTGGGAGCTGTAGAGCACGAAAAGCCAGAGATACACTTGACTGCGTTTGGCGTTCCTGAGCTTGCTTCTCTCGTGCTCTATAGCTCCCAGCTTGTCGATATCACAGTACAGAGTCATTCAAATGCGTTTTATATTCCTTAAACATATCTTCACATCTACAAGACGATAGCGGTCAAAAAAAATGTGTGAACGAAGAAAAAATGTTGCGGTAAAAATTCAAATTACGAAATAAACCTAATTACATGGTACGTTTTTAATTAAGAGCGAGTTTTGAATAGACAGTAAGACTACAAACGACAAGCTATTATGAAATATGAGAAAATGCCAGTTACTTCGCTTTAATCAAAGTCCTAAATATTTAGTTAATTAAGTAACTTTCTAAACGCCTCAATTAGTAACTCATATCTTTCTGTTGATATTAGTTTTTCGCTCATATGTACCGCAATACAGCAATTATTTTACCATATATTGAGCTATTTGGTACAAGAAGGTAACAGGTATTAGTGATTTTAGATTTAACCGATAAGGATTGTGTAGATTTAGAAAAGAAAATTTTTTCTTTCTTGTCATATTTTGATCTTTTTTTTTTTTTTCTT